GTCCTATAGAGAAATTTATGGCTGAAATCACACATTGCACTAAGCTATACTTAATTCATTATACTTTATTGCCTAAGTGCCAATTGGTCTGAGACATACAGTGACTAAAGTCACGATTAATGATGTACAAACCACAATGGTGGGATTTTTATAACAAATTAAGCCAACATGCCCACTAAAACACATTTTAACTTAACATGATATCAGTATGCCTTGTTTAAGCTGATACAAGGAAACAAAATTATGTGGGGACTGTGAGAGGTACTATTGGTTTTGCTTCAGCTATCAAAATACAACCCTGATAAAATACATATTGTTAACAAAGATGAACTGGCTGGAAAATCTAGACATCATATGGGTTGAGACAAGCTATCTCAAAATCTATATGAATCACCATACTGTGGCAAATCTCTGAAAGTGGAGGCATTGATTTGCCTATAGCCTTGGAAAGAAAAAGATTGGCCTGGGCTTTGAATGCTTCATTAACAAAACAACACTGACAAACTAGAAGGAGGAGCGGAAGAACTGTGACTGTTTGGACAGCCTCAGGAGATGATGTTATGAGAAAAGGAGTTAAAATTTTCCAGTTTGGCAGGCTGGTGAATGAATATCAGATAAATATCATTTATTGAGATCACACAAACACAAAGAAAGATTATTTTCTGGATGTGTGTTTGCAAAAGTAAAAATGACAAAAAAAATCAATAACCAATTGCACTTTGCATTATTTATTATTTCTGCAACCTTTGCAAATCCCCCCCCCCCAAAAAAGGCACGCTAAACAGTTCTGAAAACAAGGCTGAACAGCATTTCATATTGTTAAGTGCATTATCAGGAACCAAAGTGTCACCTCACTTTTGTGCTTGTTAGGGGTTCTTTTGCAAAAGATTTAGATGTGTTTTTCGTTGATTTTCATTGGGAACGGAGACGGGGGAGGGAGGGAAGGAAGCCTCGGAGACCGTATCCGGACCTGCTCTTTGTGTCTAGTGCACCAGAGAAGTTTAAAAAAGCGGGGCGTTGTGGGGGTGGCCGGCTCGTTCTCTCAGGATCCGGCGAGGAGTCCACCATCCGCGCACGATGACATGGCCTGAGACAGGCGAGTGAGTCCAGAGGCAAAAAGTAGAGGGGAAGCAGGAGAGACGGCGAGAAGATAGGTTTTGGGGGGGGGGGGGGAGACGCCACGTGGGAATAAGGGAGGCTAGAGATTTCAACTGGGTCTTTGTGGGACGGGGAGACTTAAGGAATGGAGACCCCAACTTTTGACGCCTGAGAAGGAGGAGGGGGGGGGAAATTCTTGCTTTCTCTCTTAAAGATAAACAGAAACAGCTGAGACATTTTGAAGTTTCATTGAGGGGTGGGGGCGCTCATTTTAAAGTACTTATGGAAAGGCCGGGAAATGGCGAAGCAGAGGCAAAAGGCGGGATAACAGAATTTCGTTCCATACAATCTCTCAGAGTCAGATTAAACAAAATGCCATGGGACGGAGGCGATGCTAGAAGGAAATATTACTTAAGTAGTCAGAACTTTAAAAAAAACAACAACCAACAAGCGAGGTTCCGTTTTTAAAATAAAGGAAGGGCAAAAGTAAGAAAAGGGCTTTTTGCTGTGTGGATTATATTCCGCCTTTGGGCCTACGACAAGTGCCCCAGCACATGATAATACTAATAATGTTACAAATAATAAAACAAAATCAGGAGCAGAAAAGGACAACTGAGAGGGGGTGTTGTTATAGAGGGAGGGAGAAGAGAAGAGTGGGATGAAGTTTCTACTCACGAGGAAGACAGAATAGAAGATAGATAGGCGGGGTGATTCCTGGCAGTCCTAACACAGTGTATTTTAAGTGGAAAGGAAGTGGAGAAGTCAGAGAAGAAATGAATCCTTTTAAATCCAAGATCCAAGTTTTTAAGTTTTGGCCACCTTTTCTCTGCAGGCATCTAGGCTTATGTGGAACCAGAGTCCAGCCAGCTCACTAATTTCTTTCACTAGCCCTTCCTCATAGCTTTAGTAATAATGAGTTGTGCTGCTTCAAAATGTAGAAATCTGATTTTATCTATAAACTTTTATGAATAATTTCACCCAGCTATGACTTTATTCCTAATACACTTGGGAACCTATTTATAAGCTTTAACTTGTGCAAACTATTATTTGGTTTTCAGATAGTGCATTCCTTTTCTGTTGCATTTGGAGGGGCAAGTTAAGCAGTATTGTATAATGAACCAGCCTTTTCTGAATAAAACCAAGGGCTATCTTTTTTTATATAGGTGCAAATACATTACTCCAATGATGCTAATTAATATTATAATTATTACTTCTGCCCTTTTATACATGCCACTTTGCAGAATAATATAACCAAGAAAAAAGTTAACAGTTTTGTGCCAGTGAACATGATATCTGTTTACAGTGTTTTCAACACTGGCCAAAGAAATGCTTTTGGGAACCCCCATAGTAGGGTATAAAGAGTTTTATTCCCTGCAATTGGTATGCTAAATAATGTTTTTAATATGGGTTTTATAATACTGATAGTTTTATCCTTTTTGAATATGGCTACTTTTCTCAAGCTGGTAGCCATAGTTATATCTGTTGATACTGGATTCCATAGTTTAGTTACATGTTGTGTGAAGAAGTAAGTTCTTTTATTCAGTCTTAAGTTTCTGATCCTTTACCTTCCATTTTCTTGCATGATAAAAAAGAGTGGAAAAATATTTTGACAGCCCCTTTCCATCATCATGCAACATTTTTATTTTACACATACTGCAGTGTTTGGCCATTTCAGTTGCCCTTTTATACATGTCCTCTATTTAAAATCTTAAGGTTATATTGAAATTTGTACAAAAACGTGAAACTGATATTTTTCTTTATAATTGTTCATAGATAAATATTGGTTTTTTCATACATATTTTTACTTTTTACAATGCAAACATGGGGTTCAATAATAAAGTAGCAGCCTCATGTCATTTGCAGAATATTGGTCAACATTAGGATTAGTCATTAGGATTGGTCAACATTAGCAAGATCGCAAACCATCATTGCAAGCTCACTTCTTTTGATCCTGTATGCAAAATCAATACATGTATAATACTCCATCTGCCATTTTCAAATTTTGACACACCCATCTTGCAGATGATACTGAAAATATAAACTGTTTATTTTTAATTAATACATTAATTAAATAATACATTTTAATTAATATTTTTAATACATGTTGCATTTTCAAAGTGATCTGATTCACTGCTAAAATTATATGCTGTTAAGATACGTATCCTTTTGTTGTTCAACATGAATGCAAATCATAATGTACCAGCCTCATTTTTCCCTACAATAGCAGTCTTGTGCAGTTGGTTGAGGTGAGAAAGAGTGATTAACCCGTATGAATCTCCATGGTAAAGTAGACTATAACCTGTAACACCCCAGAACAAGTGCAAATTGGTAACTACTTTTATCAAGTGCTAAGCTCAGTTATTAGCATATCATGGTCAAACATGTATAATAGGAACCAAGCTAGATTTGATTATTATTAATTTATTTATTAGATTTATGTCTCATATTTTTTCTTAGGAATTCAAGATTGCATATCTAGCCTTTTTACCACTTTTTCTTGTAACAGCCCTGGCAGGTAGATTAAGCTGAGAAATAATAACTCTCAAAGTTACCAAGTGAGATTCCATGGCTCACAATTGATAGGTATTCCTGTTTCTACAACCAACCATTGTATTGCACTGACTGACAAATAATTGTAAGTCATGATTTAAACCACTAAGAAAGATTCATTTAATGATTTAAATCATGATTTATTCACTAGTCTGGAATATTTTTCTATAAAAATGCCTTCTTATTCAATGTAAGATCAGGAGTTATTCATCAGTACTCAGAAAAAGATGTAGATTTAATTTTTAAAAAGTATAGGCCATAATAATGCAATTAATTTATAAGTTGTACAAATTAATTTTAATTTACAAATGGAATTATTTCACAATTTTTAGTACCAAATAGGGATTGTAAAATTTACAGATTTGCAAATGAAATGTTTTGGAGAACTCATCTCCCTCCCTCCCCCTTCTCATCATGCTATTTCAAGATATAGATCTGCAGTTTCCTGACGTAAATTGAATTGTGTTTTGGTCAGGGAGCTGTGTCTTGGACATTCCTGTTTAGGTCAGAGTGCTGTGTTTGGGACACACATTCTATGTTCCAAAAAACATACACAAGCACAGCCTGTTCGATTGGAAGGTTTATTCCAGAAACTGCTGCACTGTCCCTGGAACGGCATACTCTGAGGGGAAACGGAATGGTTCTATTCCTGAATTAGTAAGTTTTGTAAATCTTTAGCAAAGAAACACATACTTGTAAAGTAGTTTTAAAAAAATCAGTTCAATTCAGATGTAGTTATTTACTGTTTGAGGGAATCATAGCCACTAAGAGAATGATAATCAGTTTCTCAATTGCATGACACATCTTGTTTGAATTTTACAGAGGAGATCAAGTGTCGGTCCTGTTAACCCGTCTCTATATTATTAAATCTGAAATTAGAAGTGATATTCATAATTATTTCACTGTATTATACATTAATTTTGTAAAATGTTTTAAGAAAGTTTTGTGGCTAAAACAAAGATGCTTAATTTTGATCTTGATCTAACCTGATTGCAAATAATTGTCATTTCATTCAGTGAAACTTCTTAACAAAAAATGCTTGAGATTAAAAAAACTATTTCAGTGGAATTTCTCTCTTAATGTCTACCATTGTGATTCTCCTGTCTTTCCTTTAATTTCTTTTAATTGTAGAGAAGAATGGAAGGGGAAAAACATGAACAAAATGTTATATGACCCAAACTATTTTAATGAAATAATCAGTTTGACCTGTAGGTTTTAGGAGGGTGCAAGTCTACATCTGCAAAGTGATTGGACTGCACATTCATATTGTTATTACTCAAAAACCACTGTGAAAACAGAACTTAATGTCCCCCTGGCGAATGATTGAGATGCACTGTAATAAGGGGAGGAGCAAAGGGTTGTGCTGTGTTGTCTCAAACAATAGCCGGCTTAGAACATATCTCAGTTGCTATCAAAACTTGTATTTTGATGAGCCCAGAAAGCATTTGGCCTTCTCAAGAATGTTTTCCTGGGGCAACATCCCTATGTTAAGCATCTTGTTTTGTGGGTCATTTTTTATCATATATTTCTTGATGACTTCTTGGGGCTGAGTTTCTTTTCCTATCCTTCTGGAAACTGCTGGAGACTGTAAGTAGCTAGAGACTGTAAGTATTTGGATCTGTTTCTTTAAAGGAAAAAATAATAATTAGGTGCAATGTAAATCTTTCAAGCAAATTCTGCTTTCTTTTAAAATAACATTAAGATATATGTGATGTATGCTTAATATGATGAATATATTGGTTGGCATATCTCTAGTTTCTTGTTTTGAAATAGTACAAAATTGTACAATTAACTTTTATGATTTAAATTCACTGTTTGAAAAATATTTATTAAATCAAAGAGTTTGTGGAAGGCATATCAATAATTGAAGAAACAGCAGTTATTGAACAGATGACTAATACAGCAGAACATTCCTGATTTTGGGATATTCAAAAAAAGTGTCAAATTAAATCTCAGGAAAAAAAATGTATTTTACCATTTTAATTCTCTGAATGTATTTATTATTTATTACAATGAGTTGTACCTCACCAAAATCATTGGACACAAGGTGGCTTACACTGGATTAAAGACTTTTTTGATGTCTTAAATTTTTTTAAAAAACACATTTAACTGGGCTTTTTAATTAGCTACTTTCAGATTTTTAAAAAGTTATTTAAAAAAATGAATAATATGTTTAAAGTCAAAGTGTTTGAAAAAGAAGAAGCACTAATATCTGTTAAATTATTAATGTTTTATATTGCTAGTGTATAAGTTTAGGGTTCAAACTTCAGTTGAAACCAAAGCTGGACTTTTTTCCAAAATATTTCTTTGTTTCCCTAACTCTCTTACACAGATGCAGTGTTACATCTAATCTTATTCCTTCCTTTGTTGTTATTTTTTTAAACAGATTTTTGCAAGTTTGCTTGTAATTCTGAATCAAAGAAAAAAATCAGAGTTGAAGTATCCATCTTTTATCTCTTAAAAAAGGAAGAATTGGAGGAAAAGTACACTCTAATAGCAAATTTCACATCATTTTTTTGGAATCTAAGAAATACCTTTAAAGCAACCAGTGATGGGCTATGCATTTGAATTTAGGGTGCAAGGAATTTAATGTTTAGAACAATACCTAAAAATTAAGGTATTTCCCTAACCCAGGCTTTCACAAGTGAATGTCTAAATGTATGTTAGCTATGTGCAAATCTTTATTTGTTTAAGGTTTAATTAGCTGCTTCAATTGCCAACAAATCCAAGGTTTGCAATACAAACCTGAAAAACAATCATACCATAGCTAATGATAAGGTAAAAATCACCCACTCAAATTGAGAAATAATATAAAACAATATATATAGTACGGGGTCACAAATAATCCTGCCCTTGGCTATGTTGAAAAAAATATATCTTTTTTCTAAAGCACTAGTCAATGTTTATCCCCTAAGGCAGATGCTCTTTGATAGGGGGATGAGCGGGTTGCTCCTGGGACTCTGCTGCTATACCAATTAATCCATGCTGCAAGTTATAGACCAAACTTTTAGGAGCACACTTTCTGGTTTAGGTTATGTATTGTGCGGTGGATTCACACATTAACCTAAAGCATGATTTATTGGACCATAGTTTATTTAACAAATGCTATTTTATTGGTTTAGAAAGTTCACTAATTATGAATTATGAACTACAGTTACTGGATTCTCATAATTATGGTAAGTAAAAATGAAACAACGTTACAATTTGGTGGGATGTAGTAAAATAATAATAGAATAATAGAGTTGGAAGGTCCTTTGGAGGTCTTTTAGTCCAACTCCTTGCTCAGCCAGGAGATTGTATACCATTTCAGACAAATAACTGTCCAGTCTCCTTGAAACCTTTAGTGATGGAGCACTCATAACTTCTGCAGTTCCACTGATTAATTGTTCTAACTGTCAAGAAATTTCCCCTTATTTTTCGATTGGTTCTCTCCCTGATTAGTTTCCATCCATTGCTTCTTGTCTTGCCTTCAGCTGCTTTGGAGAATAGATTGATTCCCTCTCCTTTGTGGCAGCCCCTCAAGTATTGGAACACTGCTATCATGTTACCTTAGTCCTTCTTTTCATTAGATTAGGCACGGCCAATTCATGCAACCATTCTTCATATGTTTTAGCCTCCAGTCCCCTAATCAACTTTGTACTCTTCTATGCAGTCTTTCTAGAATCTTAGCATCGTTTTTAGATTGTGACCAAAGCTGGATGCAATATTCCAAGTGTGGTCTTACCATGGCCTTACAAAGGGGTACTAATACTTCACAGGATCTTGATTCTATCCCTCTATTAATGTAGCCTAGGACTCTGCTAGCTTTGTGTGCTGACTGCAGCACACTGCTGGCTTATATTTAAATGGTTGTCCACTAGGACTCCTAGATCCCTTTTACAGTTTCTACTATTGACCCAGGTCTCACCCATGGTACATATGTGCATTTGGTTTTCCTTGCCTTTGGGTAAAACCTTATTTTTCTCACCATTTAATTTCATTTTATTAGATAGGGTCCAGTATTCAAATCTGTTGAGATCCCTTTGTATCTTGAGCCTCTCTTCTGGAATGTTGGCTATTGCCTTTGGTTTGGTATTGTGTGCAAAATTGATGAGTTCTTCTATCCCTTCATCTAAATTATTTATGAAGATATTTAAGAATACTGGGCGTAAGACATGATTGTTTAAGATTTGAACCCATTGTTTGTCCTATATTCTAGATAGATTTAGGGCCCAGTTGAACTTTGCTATATTAAATAGATAACTACTCCATACATAACATAAAATAGTTTGTGACTACATTTATTAGTAGAAAAGTAAAGTACTGATAGTCTTTTAGTTGTACAACTATGTATTTTTTATGCTGATCCCTATTATTTCCTTATTTGCATGAGGAATTTTGTATTTTATTTTGCTTTTATAAGTCAACTGCCTGGTTATTAACATTTCTAAAATGTTTTTAAATTTCTGAATTTAAAACTTGTTGAATGTCATCTGGCAAATGGATTACAGTACATACATTTATAATTATTAATTTCCCTGATAAAGGACTTCAATTTTTCTTTGGACAATGCAACCTTAAAATAGAGTTGTCTTGACTTTATTCAGGAAATAATAAAAGAGGAAGTTTATTTTCTACTTAAACCTTGAAAGGGAAGAATCTAAATTTAGAGTCACTTTTCTGATAGTATGGTAAATGTTCTGGGATCAGTAATGGACTTGAAAGAATCAGTGTCCTTAGACCACGTTACAGATATGGCTATACCATAATCCAGCTTTTTATAGCTTCTTGTTTGCTGGTAATTTGAATCAATGTTTAATTTTAGCAAATAATGAATTTTTTTTTGCATAAGTGTAATTAAATCTGGATTTGAAATTAAATAAATGGACTATGTCTAGGCTTAGTTTGTAAGATAAATTAAGAAAGTTGAGAGACTTGATCTCTTATAATGTCTCTGAATTAAAGTATTGTATGGGAGGAAAAGTGTTTATTAGAACTGTGCAGCAGCCAGGATTCATAGGGGAGAAAGTTCACTACATGTATGGACACTTGTCACACTTCCTTAACTCAAATGTTTTTCATGAGAGGAATATGTGAAAGCTCAAAAAAATGACAGGTTCTTTAAGGAATGTTGACAGATGTTATGTGAACAGCCCCATGGATTCCAAATCACTTCCTTTGAATACAAATTGCTGATGAGCCTTATAGCTCATTAATCTCCCTTCCTATTTTACTCAGATACATAGTGTCATAATGATGTCAAATCATTATGAATCAATGTTTTTCAACTTTTGGGGGTTACTGAACACATTTGGAACTTGGAGAATATGTAATGATTGCTATGAAGTGTTTCACGCCTAAACAAATAACCAATTAGTATGCAAAAAGAAATGCACAAATATAAAAATAACTGAATTTGCCCTTCAAAATATTGCATTGTACTCTTAGCTCCCCCAGATACTTCTACATTGCCCTGATTTATCTTGCCTGGTAGGAGAAGGAGGGGAAATTGGCCTTTCTTTTAATAAAGTACTGGGTTGCAGCCACCCATCCTTTTCTAAGAATGCCTGTGGGATCTTTGTGGAGCTCAGATGCATTGAAAATACAGATAAAGCTGAAGCTGCAGTTTTGCTTTGCAGAAAGAGGTGAAGAGATACTTAGAAGAGAAGAAATAGGAGTGAGGACTAGAAGTCAAACAACGAGTAAAAATACTGAGGGATAGAAGTAAGAAGGGAAATGGATAAAGGAGTGAATTTAATATCTATAAATATTAATGGGTTAAATGATCCAGTTAAGAGAAAAAGAATTTTTTTAAGTTAGAAAAACAAAGAGCTGATATAATCTGTATTCAAGAGGTTCATATTAAGATACGTGATCAAGGATATTTACTAAATAAAAAACTGGGGAAAATGTATTCAGCATTGGCGGAAGAGAAAAAAGAGGGTTAGTACTATATATAAGAGAGGACATAGCCTCAAAATTGATTTATAAAAATGAATTGGGAAGAATAGTAATGGTAGAAGTGGTAATACAAAATAAAAAGACATTATTAGTGGGGATATATGTTCCCAATAAAAATCAAAGTGAATTTTACAAAACTTTATATGAGAAATTAATATAATTTGGCAACTCAAGAATATGTATTATAGGAGATTATAATGCAATAACAAACAATGGCCAAGATTATGCCTGTGAACAAAGACAACATAAGAAACGGAATACATTGCCTAAGAAATTTTTAAAGATGGTTGAAGAATTAGAATTAGTGGATGTGTGGAGGAAGAGGAACCCAGGAATATCACAGTTCACTTTCTACTCCAGCCCACACAAATCATGGTCTAGGATAGATATGGCCTGGGTAAATAGTGAGTTATGTAAGGAGATCCAGGATATAAAGATTTTGGCCAATACGTGGGCAGATCATAACCCGGTACAGATAATCTGGAAAAATAGTCTCTATAAAAAAGGTAGATGGACACTCAATTCACAATTATTGAAGGAAGAATATATTCAAAAAGTTAGGGAAGAACTGACCAGTTTCTTTAAATTTAATAAAAAATAGGATACCTCATTGCAGAATCTATGGGATACAATGAAGGCATATTTAAGGGGAATATTGATAGCT